CAAAAATTGCACAAGCACAATTGAATTTGTTCGGAAAAGGATTTAACATACCAATCCGGTGCTGGGACCAACAAAAACCCACTGAAGCGCACCACCACAGAGGGACATTGATGGGAGGGGAGGATTGGTGGGGCATGCAAATAGCAAGGAAACAGGACACAAGACACGGCACACGGAACACGGCTGCACCTTATGAGACAAGAGAGAGCGAGGACAGACGAAGCGAACAAAGCTAAGGCGCTTACAGCGCTACAGTCAGAAGAGGTGCACACTCCCTCACTCTCTCTCCCACACTCTCTCTCTCTCTCTCTCTCTCCATCGCAGATGATGCTCAATATGCTCGAATGCCGCTTGCATTTGGGGGCGAAAGACAATGGGCAATAGATAAGAGAGGACTGTGGAGAGAGGAGTATGGAGTGGCGGGCAGGCCAAGTCAACCATTCTATTCCGTTTCGGGCTACGCAATTTGCTGCTCGATTGTCTTGGCATTGAGCAGCGTCGGGGGCGCTGGCACTCGCTGTCTATCGTTTGGCAGGACCCTTGAGCAGCACCATAATTCAATTGATTCTTGGCAACATTATACACAAATGGCCATTATATTTATCGTTGCCAATAATGATGACGATGGCGACTATGACGATGATGATAATGGTGCAAAGGAGGCTGGAGCCAGGCCACCTGTTATCCTGTTAGCCAGCATTTCAATGGCACTGCACTCGGCTTTCTAGGCAAATGAGCTCTACAGGATTACGATTTGAGTTCAAGTGACTTGTCATTGAAGTCACAAAAAAAAAACCCTGAAATAAAATACGAGCTGAATAGCAAAAACACACATGAATGTAGCTCAGAGAGATACATAGATGGTGAGCAGCATTTTGGCCTTGCCTTGCCTCCCTCTGTGGCTGCTGTCGAAAAGAGCAGACTAACCTTTATCCGAGTGTGTGGGTTGAAGCATTGGCCACAGTACGGATTCCGATTGCACTGAACCACAAATTTGCAATTAATTATTCGATTGAAACTGCAATGAGATACAAATGATTCGTTGATGATGTTGTCTCTGGTGTGGCAGGAGAGAGGAGACTGTAGGAGCAGGCTGAAAGTGCTCTCCAAAGTTAAATAGAATGTCTCCCGTTTTGTACATCATTTTAATTAATAAATGGCAAGAATAATAAAATCATAATTTGACAAAAGGTTTCCAATTTGCGGGCAGGGCAGGAAACACACAACAGCAACAGCAACAGCAACAACAACACAAGTCAAACTCAAACAGAAAACCCAAAGACTTGCAACAAATTAATCAAGTCCCATCCGGAGCCCGGACGGACAAACGGAGGGACATTCAGCGATACGGTCACTGGATTCGGCATTTGCATAATGTCAAATGCACTTTGTGTCAGGGGTACGGGGGGCTGGACTTTTGTTTGTGAAAATATAAATTTTGACTTAAATCAACAATGGGAGCCGCCTCGCCACACTCTCCAGCGTTGTATGCGGCTTGACCTTAGGCCTTTTGATTGTGTGTTATGAGGGGGCAGGGGTGGGGGAGTTCATCATTCCTTTCCTATTTGTCCGAAGAGTTATGCAAATGAAACAAACGAAAGTTCTTTGTCTTGTAGGGTGGCTCCTTAAAGTTATTATTTGCTCTATTTATTATGCATTGAAGTTGCGTCAAGTACAGAAGGTCTCTTTCCTCAAAGAGCCCATAATTATTATTTATATTTCATCCTTAGGGCACAAGCCACACGCAAATTTAACCACATGAAACAGTCCGTGTAATTAAGAGTCCTGGCCACGGAAATAACACTTTCGAGCGGACAGTTCTGGGCCCAGGAATAGCTGACAATCGGCACGTGATTTGACTATGAAATTTCTTCTCTGTTCCGTTCCGTTCCGTTCTGTTCCACATCCTGTCTGTCTTCACTGCCTGAACCTGTGTGACCCTCAGCTCTGCGCTCCTCGCTCTGCGTGTGATTTAAAAATAATTAAACACGTACAGCAAATAACTGTAATTTCCAGTGGGCAGGGGACGGTGCCAGTTGGCGCAACAACATGAGCGGCACAGTTTTAAAATTAACATTTTTATTTTTTTGAAATCAACGCGTCGGCTCATTGAGTGCTAGCGCGGCGACGGCATTGGCCATAGCCTTCACCTATAAGAGCGGAGTCGTCCTGATTACGATGGGCATCACGGAATGGCATAAAATACCCTTTGGGGCATTGGCCAAATCCAAATCGCCAAACGGTGCCCGCTGGAATGGAGGTTGTGGCAATTATTTACATAGCCACATATTGAGCAGACCTGGAGCCCTGTGGCGGAGCATTGGATTACGAGTGCTCGTAGCGGATTTCCATGTGAACGGACACCGCAACGATGCGCATTCCATTCGCATTCCGAGTGGCGATTCAGCCAAAGCCAAACCCACTAACTGGGATTTGGTGGCTCAGTGTCTGCCACTCTCACGCTCCCTCACTGGATCTCGGTTGGGTGGCAGATGGCGTTGAGTTGGTAGTTGTCCCTCCCTCTGTTTGGATCTGTGGCGTGTGGAAGTCATACGATATGCCAAAGGACTCTCGAGGGAATTGTCCAAACAGAGCGACGTCTATTACTCGAGTATCCACAAGGCATGCAACAGTTGGCTCAGCGATCCTGTCTCTCGTCAGTCTGTCCTTCTGGGTGTCTGTTTGGTGGCAGGGAAAGTCGCTCCCATTCCGACTTGGCCATTGTGGATGCAGCGTTTCCGGAGCACACTGCGGCACTTGGCATTGTAACCGGCTTAAGCGTCGCAACGTTGCATTCATTTACATCAATGCTGTGGCCCTCCTACACCGGAAGTGTCTCATTGACCGACCATCCGGCAGCATGCGCTGTCACGCCTCATGTCTTTACCCCCAATCCTGCCTTCTGCCTTCTACTCCTACTCGTCCTCCTGCCCGACCATCTGCCCCATTTCCTGCTCTCCAGCTCGTGCACTCAATGGGCGTTCGACCGACTGGGCTGTCCGTCCGTCTGTGTGTGTCTGGGTGTCTATTTGTGTACTCGACTGTCTGGGACTAGCAGGCTCCACCTCCCTGTCAATGCTGTGCGACTAACGCATTAATCCTTGCTTTGATTTAAGTCCAATTTGTGTGACGCCCCAATGGGGCGGAGTGGAGTGGAGAGCAGATGGAGTCCATGTACGGCACATTGTTCTACTCCTCCCCGAATAAGCGTGCAGCGACCAGGACACACAACAGAACAACAGGCAACACAAAGAGTCAACTAAACTGACTCTCTCTTGTTCTCCCGGGGAACAATGCAGATTTTAATTTGAATGGTCGGACAATGCAATCCCCTGTCCACTCCATTAAATGAAGACTCACCTGTCGCCTGATTGGCTCCTGATTTATCATGCATAGGCCTGATTAAATGATGCTTAGTGGATTCGGTTCCTCCTGGCGCCCATCGAGGGACAGTGCAGTGTGCATCAATTCTTTTGCATTCCGAATTCCTTTCCTGGGAAATACTCGTAAGCAAAGCATTTTCCCCTTCCAATTCAGCTATTGGGATGCAGCCAATCTAATCGAGGCTGCTGCGTGTAGTGCCCCGTGGGGACGACTCAGATGTGCGTTGCACGCGCTCTTTGAGCGTAGGAGTTTGCCACTTCAGCACGTTCTCTCTCTATCTCTTTCTGGTCATTGTGCGCGTGGGTTAATGGCTGTCCCGCCAGGACATTCACGGCCTGGCCGGGCCCTCGGCGGTTTGCAGCTGGCCATTAAATGAAGCGCTCTTTGGAGCCAGCCGTTCATCAAGGTGTGCGGCCTCGCTGTCAGTTGTTGTGATCACAATGCGATTGGGGCTCGCTGGTGAACGACTCTATCTCGCTGTCTACGATATCCGGCATAATGATGGCTATCGCCGTGGGGACTGCTCGGAGTCCTGCCTGAGTGGCATTCGCTGTTGACATGCCTTTCAATTTAGAGTACAACGCGCCCTGTTGGCGTCTCCTGCTGGGTTCCTGCTGGACTGACGGCGCCCCGGCGTGCGGCCATCGTTGCAACGGAAACGGGCATTAAGGTGGCAATCATTCGGCAGGATACCGACAGGCATATGATAGCCAGGTGATATCTTTACACTCTTTTAACTATTGTGCTGATCTCTGAACCATAAAATGTGTCCATAAAGATTCAGTTTCTCCTACAAATTTAATGTGAAACGCTTTTTGGCATTGAAATTCTGGAATGCAAAGGAAGGAGGGTCAATGTCCGCCACTGCCTCGGGCCAGACTGGCATTCTTTTTATGAGTTGTCAAAAAATTGTTGAATTGTCATTGTGCAATAAAATATAAATGTCAAACAGACTTTTGAAATTGTATTTCGCTTTTACCGCCGCAGCCGCCGACGTCTGTCGCTGTGGCTTTGGCATCGTCTTTGGGTCTGCTGCAAACGGAAGCGGAAATGATAATGCAGTTGACATAGAGACACATACAGACAGGAACACTGTTGGTGGAAAGTATCTGCACAGTGTACACATCTGTCGGGACTGGTTGGCCAGCTCTATCCACTCTTTGGTGTGGCAGCAGCCCCGCGGCGAATCCAGCCCGCAAACAGTGCAAGCGCTGACAGATCCACAGACAGACAAATATACGGACACACGGACAGATGGATGGCTGCTCCTCATGAGGGCAGATAGACAGAGAGAGAGAGATAGTGGGCGTGGCCAGCAATTCAATCAAAGTTGCAGTGGCAGTGGCAGTGGCAGTATCAGTGGCAGTTCCAGTGCCAGTCTCGTCTCTGTTAAAGTTGAATTTTCAGTGGCAGTTTCTGTTTCTGTCGTTTTATGCGAAATAATAAATTTCATCTTGAAATTGATGGACTCTTATGCCGCAGCGAGCATCCAGCAGCTTTTAAGCTATGCGAGCTTTGAAACCAGTTTTGTTGGTGGCTCGAAAGCTTTCGGGTGTAGCGCATGAGGTAAGCCGAAGCACGACTGCCGATCGTGCAAACAGAATTGATCGTGAAGACTCGGCGAACGGTTCACAGCGGACGGATTGATCGATATATGTAAACAGAGAGCGAAAGAAAGAAAGAGAGAGGCAAACAGCGAGAGACAGAGACAGCAAGAGTGCGAAGATAGAAAGAGCAAAGCAACAAGTTTGCAAGTGGAAATTTTAATAACGAAATGCAGTGAATACCCGTCCCGTCCCGTACCCACGAATGCCACAAACAAAAAGCCTAGACTTGAAACCAAAACCAAAAACCCAACTAAAAACCGAAATCATAATTTAATCAATTAACTAAGTCGAATCTTTGGCTCATTATGAGCACAAAAGACAGAAACAGTGCAAACCCAACGAAAATCCACGAGAGCGAGAGCCAAAAGAGCCCCAAAAACATCGTGAACCTAGTTTACAATATTTAAAAAATACAAAAAAAAAAGAAAAATATAAACAGCAACAAGTGAAAGAGCCGAAGAGAGACGGATAGAGCGGGAGGTGCCGCTTGCGCCGACAGCCAGAACGAGACGGCCGAACGACAGACCGAGACTTTCGCAGTTGAGGTTGATTTTTGCATGCAAAAAGCTACACACACAGCGGTACAGCAACAGCTAGAGCCACAGCGATACATCTGGAAGACAGCCCACAGTCCAGAGCCCAAAGAATTGTTATTATCCAGACAGGCAGAAGGGAACACGCACACACGCACACACGCACACGCATTGAAATGGAGTACGAGAAAATGTTGTACCTGGCAAATGGCAGTGAGGTGAGTTGAAATATTTACACTGAAAAGATACTCTAACTGTAGCTGTGCTCGTGTCCATGTGAGTGGCACTTTTTATGGGGGCCAGAGCACAACTACAGGCGGCCCGGCCCGATGATAGCTGACTGTTGATAACCTTTTGCCAGCCCTTATCAGCCAGCGAATTGTATCTGTATCTCTGCCAGTCCCTGTTCTGTGCCACTCGCACTCGCACTCAGTGCTATGCTCGAATATTATGCGCAGTTTTTGATGGGGGCCACAGCTGCGTGTACGTCGTGTAGCCCGTGTATTTCTGATAACAAAAGCAACGAGTAAGAGTACGACTACAAGTGGGAGAAATGTAGGAGAGATGCCTTGCTGTGGCAGCTTTTAATTAGCAGACCAATTCGTGTGGGCGGCTGGCAGGTGTAGTATCTGGCGAATGCGTGTCACTGGGTGAGAGTCGCTGTGTCCCTCTCTGGCTTAAGGCCAGGCTTGCTGTAACACTTGCCAGTTACATTTTCCCATTTGTCTTATGGCATTTCGCTTTAATTACAATAACAGCAACAGCAGTGGCAGCAACAGTGGCAACAGCAGCAACTTTCAAAAGATGCTTTCATTTTGCCAGAAGTGATTCTAAATGATTGTCAACTATGGCATGACAACAAACGGTGGCAGCCAGCAGCAGCAGCAGCAACAACAACAGTAGCTCCAGCACAAATAGTAAGAGCTGCCATGTCGGCCTGGCATTTCACTCGGAAAGTGCATTCCAATCCAGCAGATACAGCAGCAGCAGCAGCCAGCAGATACTTTTTGTTGGACCTACTTAGGCTGAAGTCTTTGACGTTTTGTCGCTGCTTCTGCTTCTGCTTCTGCCGGTATTGCCAGCTACTGCCAGCATTGCAATAAAAGAAAATACTGTAGAAATGCAGAAGAAAAAAAAACTTGTATTTACCATTTTTGATTGATTTGATGGAAATGTGTCTCTGCGCTGATGCTGCTACTGCTGCAATGTTGCAGCTTCTCGCGCTTTTCCAATCGCTGACACAGAAGTTGACGCTGAACAGCATTTAGAAATGCACTTCAAGACGCTTACTCGCTCTCGCCCGCTCTCCACTGACTGCCCCCCCACTCTGTACTCTCAACCAGTCTCATTATATTTATGGACATAATAAAATAAATACTACTGCCAGCAATTATAAATGCAGGCGCTTTCGCAGATCAGATGAGATGGCATGGCATGGCATGGCATGGCATGGAATGGGTTGGGATGAGTTGAGGCCTGACATAAATACTTCAAGTTGTTCGCTTTCCCCTGTAGTATCTTTCCCCATAGAACAGCAGCCATCAGCCATCAGCCCTTTGGCCATACATCTATCTAATATTGTTGAATATCAATCAAATGGATTATACAATAATCATCGCTGGGTTTGGCACTTTTTTGGGTGTGGCTTCTTAAGTCTCATAGTGGGTTGCAACAGCAACACCAACAGCGGCAGCATTGCTTTTGCTGTTGCTGTTGCGGTTTACACAGCAGTGTAGCCCAGGCTTTTATGCAAATTGAAAATGACTTGGCTTCGCAACGCAACGTCTTTTATACAGAATAATTGTCGGTGCGTGCCAAGCATAATGAGGAGATTCAAGGAGCAGCAGCAGCAACAGCTAGTGACAGAAGGGTTCGTGGTGCAGTGCGTAGACATTACGAGTATCGTAAGCGCATTCCTTTCAAGAGTGTGGGATGGGCCACAGCTACTACCACACCATACTGCCATTCATGTGGTGTCTGTCTGGGTTGTCTATCATGGTGGTGAAGTGTCTGCTGAATGGCGGTGGCTCTGCACTGAGGCACGAAGCTTGACAAGTGAAAATCCTGCAAAAGCCATTCCAATGTGCGATTGAGTGCTAATTAAGGGGTTTCCCTACGACATCCCGGAACATTCTAGATCTCAGCAAGTATATGCATATTTAAGCGAAAGAGATACACTCACAATCCTATCCACTGTATGTATAATGAGGTGGGAAAAAAAGAATCTAGCATAATTGAATTGTTGCACCCATTCCCACTGTACCACTGCAGCTTTGTAGCTCTGTTGTGTCAAGATATTTATTAACCTTGCAGCAGCAATTTATTTAGCATGAAATGTCGACAATTAAATGCAATGCAAATAGTTGAAGCGAACCGAAGAATGGCAAGAACTGCAAACAGAATTGCGTCGTCACGACTGTCTGGACAGACAGTCAGACCGAACAGACAGACAGATAGAGCTACTAAAAGCCAACACCAAATACAACAAATACATAAGATACAGATATACAGAGAATAATGAAAGAGACAAACAAACAGAAGGCAGAGGCGAACGATGTAAAAATAAGCAGAAATAAGTCTTGTCTCTTTGACAGCTTAACCCACGCATCCAAAGTGCTCGTACTTCGTAGATTGTACGTGGATATTGTTGGGGGATTTGCTGGCTGTGCTCTTACATACATACTATATGTATCTGTATCTCTCTATCTCTATATCTCTATCTATGTATCTATCCGTGCCCGTGTGTCTGTGTGCTTATGCTGTTGACAGCGCACTTCAACATTGCCATAACCCCATTGCCCACACCACACCACATCACGCCGCGCCGCACTCCTCCTCAGTATATCCAATCCCTAAGCCAGCGAATAAAGCGAACATTCATTAAACAAACAATTTGCGCTTGCGCATCTACCACCACAGAGGGAAAGAGATGGAGCTAGACAGAGAGTGGGAGAGGGAGAGAGAGAGAGGTGGCAGCAGCAGTAGTTGGCGGCTAGTGAAGGGGTTTGGTCTTCGCTTCTCGTGGCTTTTGTTAGCTCCATTGCCATAATGCGATTAGAACAGATTACCTGACAATTGTCGCCAGAACAGAGACCCAGAACTTAGAACCCAGAGACCCAGAACCCAATACTCGAATACTGAACACCTGAGGAGGTTGAGGCTGTAGCTGTGGCTGTGGCTGGGGCGACACATTTGCATAGTTTGTTTTATTTGGTTCAAAGATACATATAAATGAATTTAAATACCACTTGGCCATAATTCAACATCAACATCAGCATGAGAACATGGTCATGTCAGGCCCCAAGGCTGCGCCGCAGCTGTAATTGCAACTGTTCTGGACAGTCGTATAACTATATAGTATATCCACATACATATATTTATATCTTACCCTTCACTTCCACCAAGGGGGAGTCGGGCTAGCAACCTTTTGTCTCTGACTGCGACTCCGACTCCGACTCTGTGTCCCGCGCCAAGGTTTCCTTTGTCTATGGGCCTGGGCCGCGCCCCGTGTAAGATCATGTTATATGGTGTACCCCACCCGTGGCCATATCTATATAGATCGGTCGTGCGGCTCGCCCGAGGCGTTGGCCAATTCGTTCGATTTATTATCTGCCGCTGCCGCTGCCGCTGCCGCACCACACACGACCATAAGCTGACTGCTATCTGATCGCCGCTTTTAATAATGCTTTTTGTAGTTCTTAAAACGTAAACTTGATTTTATTATTAGGCAAAAGCCACACACCAATACAACACATCACACGAGAATGCCACATTCTTGGCAATGGCTTTGACTTGTTCTAATGAATTTCGTTTGACGTTGCGGCCCCAGCCACAAAAATCATACATAAAACTTGTTTTCCTCTTGCCTTTTTGTTGCCTGCTATTTTCAATTTATTACTTTTGCTCTCCGTCCTAGCCCCCCCTCACTGTTCGCACTGTCTCGCATTACTTAAATATTATTGTTGCTAGTTTTTGGGTTAGGGTTTTTCAATTTAGGGAAATCCAATCCAATTGAAATCCCAACCACTGCCTTTGACAGTCGCAAAATATGTTTTCATGTAACTTCTCGTCTGTGTCTTGGATTTTCGATTTGGACATGTCTTTGGCCTCAAATTTGATTCGTTTTCTTTTGTTTTGTTTGCTGGAAATATGATTTTATCGCCTCTTGGAATTTTTCATATATATTTTATTTTTGCAGTGAGTAAGCGTTGAGGCTTCTATGAAATGTTTGGAATTGCTATCATTTAATTGGCTTACGATTCTTTTGGTGCCACTGCGTGCCAGGGCCACACTCGTTTATGAATTTTGTGGTTAACATATATGTGAATTTTTCTGTCCCAATCATATTTGAATATTTAGCATTAGTCAGCAGTTGGCAGCAGCAGTTGGTAGTCCGTTTGGTCAGTCGATTGCTTTCCGCGATAAGAGTAATTTTCATTGAATCAATCGAGTGTTGGATCCTGTTGTTCGGGGCAGGTGGAAAGCCCAGAGGAACACGGAATGCACTCCTATTCACATTCCCCTTTCCATACCCATTCACATTCACAATTCGCACCCACACGCTCTCTCTCTCTCTCTCTCTCTCTCTGTGTATTCGGACACCTACGAGTGTATCAATGTTCTGTACCTTTTGTAAATGGTTTTATTAATAGAACCGCCGGCTATTGTGGGTTTTCTAAAAATACTACGTAGGTACGTACAAACTTTCAACCCAACACCTGACAATCGTTTTGGCCAAATCCTAATTGCTGGCCCCGGCCCCATTGTTCCCTTGCCCCGGCATTGACACCACACCATATCCAAGTACCCAAGTGGCTGAAACTCCACCGTGATCGATGGCCAAACATGAAAACAACGCAAGTCGGCTCCGAGAACCCACCAGTTTGTGACGTTGATTGGGTGGTTTCAATGGTGCGGGTGCTGATGGTGTTTGAGGCTGCTATTTATATGTCGATATATGATTCCTAAATGACCATTGCAACGCCCTGTTCCCCGTGTACACCCATGACAAAGGCGTTTATTGACAGCCACCGACCGATGTCCGACATGCCAATGAAATATTAGCGGCCGAAAACGTTTGGCTAAGCGGCCCACAAAAAAAAGCCTTTTGTCCGCTGTTCGGGGCAATTGGAAACTCCAATTCTCGTCAGAACTGTGCTGCCGAGCTGTGCTGTTTTCAGTATTTCTCTGTATTTCTCTCTCTACGTATGGAAAGATTTAATTAAAATTTACGAGTACACCACATGATTCAGATCGTTGAGATCTTTTGTTCAAAGTCAGCAGGAAATCCATACATACAAGCGTTCATATTGTGCTTGGAATCCATGTGGAATAACCCAAGTGATCTAATTTGCACAGCTGTGAGGATGTGGGTCTCAGTTTCTCAGTGTATTGCTTTCGGCCTCAGTCACGGTATCGGTATCGGTCTCGGTCTCGGCTTAGATCTAGGGGTAAAAATGTAAAGATATTGCAAATAAATCAAATGTCCGGTCGAAATGCAAATTTCTGTTTCACTTTTATTGCCTTTGAGCCGGGAGAATATTTATAGGCATTATTTGGCATCACCTATTTGGAGAGCTCTTCCTTTTTCCCTTTCCCTTTTCCTCTTCCTTCAGTCGACCTCCTTAATGGCCAAACGCTGTCTCAAATTGAGTTGTAAGACCTTTTTTCCGGAAATATTTATGGCTGGCAACCCATGGTGGGGGGGGGGCACTGTTAATAGTCATAAAATGTAATGTGAAAATAGTTTATTAAAAAATGCATAGAAAATGTTGTGCCTAGTCAGGCAGATGTAATAACTAGTTGACATTTTAGTGGCCCGAGTCGCCCTTAATGGTCCATAAATGGTGGATTGGACAGAGAGAGAGAGAGAGAGAGAGAGAGAGAGAGAGAGAGGGAGGGAGGGCCTCTGGCTATGTCTCTGTTCCCTCAATTTATTATGCAGTTTTTGCCAGGCAATCACATATTTTATGGCTTTCCGACTGAGTCATCGGCTGCAGCAGCAGCTGCTGCTGAATCATGTGCCGTGTCCTCGCTTTTCCTCGGGGACTCTTTTGGCTGCAGAGTTTCGGTGAAGTACCCTAGTCTAAGTGCCTAAGTACAGGGCTGAGATACTTGCTCTAATAATATGGAGATTACGCAAGGCAGTGCACAGCGAAATCAGCGAAATGTTTGCGCTGGCAATTAGCGGGCAGGCGAGAAAAGCGAACCCAAATCACTCACACACACCGGGGGCTGTGTCGAACAATTAAAACATAGAAATTGTAATAACATCGTGACTAGTTAGAATTATGGCGAACGTCGAACAGACAATAAGCAGCAGCCATCCCTGCAGCACACATGCCCCTGCTCGCTGCCATCCTCCTTCACCAATCGAAAGTACTTGTCGGAAAATCCAGTATGAGTTGTTTTATTAATAATAAGCGCACAGCGCATAGCCATGGCGTATGCAGGTCCCCCGCTCTGTCCCGAGCAGCTTCCTCTGCCTACGAATGGCAACCTTCTTCTCTGCCCGTCCGCCCCCCTTGCAGCACTGTGACACACCGAGCTCCCCAATGCCTGCCTGCATTGAGTTGCTTAATGAAAAACCAGTTTCTCAGAGGTAGAAATTGGTAGCGCATTCGGGCCATATATTAGCATTGCCTTCTTTTGTGACGCTATGTGCAAATGAATATCAAACAAAAGTATAAAACACAACCAGAAGAAAAGGCAAAGACTGTGAGATCGCTACTAGAGATACCCTGCCTCAAGGCCATGCGAATGATAGCTGAAGGATTACGAATACTTCTTTATAACTTCGTTTAACTTTAGCTGAAATATTATTGAAATAAATTTGAGAGCCATTTGATGTTTTTAGGTATTTTGTTTATTGAATTTGACTGAAGAGCCAAATGCCATATGCCTCAATATACAAATATTTATCAGTTGATTTCTCCTCTAGAATTTTTGGCTTCATAATTCCTAAAAAATATTACACCCCAGCCTAAGTTAGAGTAAGTCTCTGGCAGTGTAGAGTGCACAAATTAAAGTGAAATAAAAAGAGAAAGAGAGGGGACGAAATAGAGCGAAAGAGAGCTGAAAGAAAACAGACTGTGAGTAGGGGAGGAAGGCGCAGAAAAACACACAGAAATCTCTGTGAGAAGCAAGCGACAAGAGAACGCTTTGATTTCGATCTAGTCATTGTTTGGTCTGCTCATAAAAATAATAAAAATAAAAAAAATCACACACAAACAAACACCGAACACGCTGCCCCCACCAACGCCCTGCCCTGCCCTGCCTAGCCCTGCCCTAGTCTAGGTGCTCCCCCTTTGGGCAGACCACGACCACGCCCCCCTCCACAGAGCTGGGGCTTTGGGTTTTTTTGCAGTTTGCTGTTTGTGGCGTCACAGGCCAAGTCGCAGCTTGATAAATGAGAAAATCAATGCCACTCGAAGCTTAGTACGTCTCCTGCTGTTGTCTGGTCGGTTTCGCATTCACATCCCACCGTCGCCGACACAACCGCCATTGCCTCTGCAGACAGTCCCGCCTTTTTGGAAATCCTAAGGTTAAGAAACGACAATCAACAATTAACAATCGACAAGCAAATCAGAATCAGAAACAAAATCAGAATAGCAGAGTCAGAAACCCCAAGCCGAAACACACAAAAATTTCCATACTTTATTTTGGCGTTCGCCAGGTAGGTCGTCTGGTGATGCTAGTACGAATTAGAAAGGCGACAGCCACTGGAGACACAAGCTCGTAAAACCAGTGGAGAAGTAACAAAAATTCATTAACTTTCATGGGCGTGATAATTAAGACAGGTGGCCGCAATTTGGCAGCTCAGATCGCTTGATAATTGCTGATATTTGAAATACTTCATCGACAGTGACGGTGACGGTGCATGTCCCTAATACATGTACTAATTTTGGCTTGGTTCTTTTTCGTTTGCCTCAACAGATGCCGCACAGTCCCCAGCTGAAGCCACAAGCGTTCCAGGCCCTCACGCCGCCTGACCAATACTCCGCCTATGCGGATAACTTTGATTTGTCGATGCTGCCGCAGGACGCCGGCATACCCACGACAGTTTATCAATACAACGCGCCACAGATTAAGATCGAGTGTGCCTGGGACTGCCCCACGGATAACCAGCAGCAGCAACAGCAACAGCAGCCGGCACCGGCATATGCCTCCTCCGGCCATCAGTTGATCCCTCCTCCGGCCTATCCACACAGTGTTTATCCCTCTCCCCAGTCCTCGCCCCTGCAGACCGAGTTTGCCTCATTCGGTGGCTACGGAAAGCTTCACGGCAGCTACGACTGCCTAAACAGCCCCTCACCCTCGCTGGATGCATCAAGCATCAAGCAGGAGCTGCACATTCTGCCGCCCTCTCCGCCAGAGTCCAACTGTGAGACACCCTCGCCACGCTCCGCCTGCAGCGAGAGCATCAAGACGGAGCCGCTGGACTCCTCGGACATTGAGAGCTTCATCGACCTGAACGCCCTGCTCCAGCAGCAGCAGCAGCAGACCCAGTCGCAGCCGGACACCAAGGCCGATCATCAGGTGCTGCGCGAGTGCTTGGAGGACACGACGTTCCAGAAGAAGCACAACCTTCGGCCACTGGCCCTGGAATCCTTCATCGGCGGCTTGGCCGAGGTGCGCGGGGACTTTGAGCCTGTCATTTCGCTGGCGCTGGAGCATGCCAAGCGTGAGGCTGATGCCATCTGCATGGAGCTGCAAATATCGCAGGGTGAGTCTGAGTCTCCTCTTTTTTGGGTGTACAAATTTCATCATGGATCAACTATTTGCAGATCCAAATGCGTGGACACCCTCGCAAGTACACGCATGGCTTCGATCCACCTTGGCACAGTTCAAGCTGCCGCCGGCTGCCAATTTAGAGCTGAAGTTCTCCGAAGACGGTGCCGCATTGGCATTACTCAGCGAAGAGGAATTCATGCGTCGACTGCCAGAGGTAAGTCGTGGTACGAGTAGATCAAAGCCATCAGCATTATGGTGTGCAGTAACTGGGCAAGGCGAAGGTGCCAAAATAACTATCTATTACAAAATAGATCGGCACAAAGCAATGCCCGATGCCATGTAAAACAATCGCACAATGCAAATGCCAATAGCAAAAGGCAGAAAGGCCCAGAGCAGAAAGCAGAAAGCCCAATCAATGCGATTGAATCGAATTTCGCGTACAAATCAAATCGAATTGGTATAGCAGGGAATGGGAATGGGAATGGGAATGGGTAAAGAAAAGAAAAACAACAACCAAAAACAAGGCAAACAAAACAAAATACAACGAAACGAAAACTAAAACGAAACAAGTTTCGTAACTGGCGTTGACGTCATGGCTCTTGGAGCGGCAGGCCAGGCCAGAGCGGGCCAGAAGAGCAGACCAGACCAGGCCAGACCAGGCCAGGCCAGGCCACGGGAGCTTACATACTTGAATAAGCCAAAATCAGAAATCGGAAAGCAAAGCGCAAAACTCAAAAACAACTCAAACCCCCGAAACCTGTTGGCAACAATTAGGCAAAGGCTTGCGGCATCCACCAGTAAAAACTACTCCACATGCGCTCTCCAGCTCTCCAGCGAAGACTCAGTCCAGTCCGAAGACATTTGCCAAAAATATATCAATGATTACATTCGTTTAGGCCCCTATGCTGATGATGATGATGGTGGTGGTGGTGCTGCCACTGCAGCAGCAAAACGAAACAAAAGACTTGGGCAACGAACGTGATCGGGAGAGCGCAAGCGAAATGAAATCGGAGAGGAGCCAAAAGCAAGCCAAGCCAAGCCAAGCCATGCCAGTCGACAAAATTAGTAACCGTGGTCATGGCTGTAAAGGTGAAAGAATGTGTGAAGGTTGTTTGGTGAAACTGCAGCACTTGGATGGATGATTACGAGCCAACCATCGTGTAGCGGCTCAGATGACTATGGCAATGGCTCTCTGTCTCTGTCTCTGTCGCTGGCTCTGGCTCTGGGGACTGGCAGCAGCAGCAGCAGCAGCAGCACTCCACTCCACTCGAACTGAGCCAACGACCAGCAACGACATTGCAAGGTGAAAGTAAGTCGTTGTCGCAGTCGCATGTGGTTTTTGTTGCTTCTGTTGCTGGTTGTTGCTGCTTTTGCTTGTCTGTTGTCTGCGGAGGCTGCCTCCACACAGACACGAGACTGCAGATTTATTTATGCACTTGGATAGCATAAGAATTTCCAATTGATAGGCCGTCTAGATTGAGATCTAGCCGGGATTAAGGCTCTTCTCGGGTCTGCTCTCCACTCTGTCTCTATCTGTGTGCCCATTCAAAATGTATCACTTTCGGCTTTCTTTTCCTTCCAGAGCGGGAGCACACTGCATGCCCAATTGGAGATATGGAAGATGGCCTATGCCGATCAGCCAAACAGCCAGTCGATCCAGCAGCAGCAGCAGCCAGGCCTCGATCCGTGGCCGCCAGCCAGCTATCCGATGCTCAACCTGGACGACTTCAATGGGGACAGCGAAGGTGCGTGGGGGATTGGGAATTCTCTTGCTGGTTCTCTTGAGATTAATTTCCTTGCTTCTTCAATGAACAGATGAAGAGGAAATGGAGGTGGAAGCTGAAGTAGCCCCTACACCTACGCCCATTACCGCAGTGACAGCAGCTGCCACACCAACTTCCACGCCCGTGAAGCGCACCAGTGGCGGACGCACTGGCGGCGGCTCCCACATCCATCTGTGGCAGTTCCTCAAGGAGCTGCTGGCATCACCGCAGGTGAACGGCACCGCCATACGCTGGATCGATCGCACCAAGGGCATCTTCAAGATCGAGGACTCGGTGCGGGTGGCCAAGCTGTGGGGTCGTCGCAAGAATCGCCCGGCCATGAACTACGACAAGCTGTCCCGCTCCATCCGGCAGTACTACAAGAAGGGCATCATGAAGAAGACGGAGCGGTCACAGCGGCTGGTCTACCAGTTCTGCCATCCCTACAACCAGTAGAGAGGTGGAGTACTGGGATTCCTATCCAGATCGCTTAGCTCTAAGGGTATTTATTTTGCTAGCATAGCCACCTTCCCCCACATGTCCCACCTGTCCCCCATTCCACACACTCCGACTATGCCCGACTAGCCTTGTGGGTCTAGCGGGTCTTAGTTCTTGTACATACACAATCTTTATAGCGCACGAAGGTAAGTTCGTGCATCGATTAAGTTTGGCTCTAGCTCGTAGGCACAAACAACTAAAACCATTGCCCCGCATGGCGAAGGTAAGTTCGTCGGAGGGCAGAGGTTTTAAGCGCAATCCATCATAATGTAAATCTAATCTTGCCCCCGCGGCTGGGCGTGGCTGTTGGCCCATCGCTGCAGGCAAATGTTTGACTTACTGCCGACATCTTTATTCAAATGCCGCCCACCCATGCAGTGGATAATCCTGCACCCGTGCTGTTGTGTGCCACTGCCAGTGAAGTGAGGAACCACCATTAGTAACCTGAGGCGAAACTTGGTTGAAGGTTCAATCACTCAACACTCTCTGTGGAGGCACAGGCAGGCACTGGTGCAGCCACTGCTGGGCAGCATGAAGGTGTGGCGGTAATTTTAGGAACCATATATCTATGATATATCAAAAGTAAGTTCTATGAACAACTTAATAACCGAAACGAAATGTTAATAATAGACTCTAAGGTAAAAACGATTAGTTGTACGACTCCTTGAAAGTTTTTTCTCTTCAAAACAAACCCCCGGGCAAAAGTTAAAAAACTTTCGACCCTCCCCCTAGGCATAGGCGTTACGTGTTTCACACTCTACACATACACTTATATGAATATCAATTATTTATTCTGTACTCCGGTGGTGGTATATCAGTTAAGACATTTAGTTTGTTGTTTTTATTACGATTATTATCCGCACTTTGCATAGTTTTTCCCCCGTTTCCCCGTTTTTTCCCGCTTCCATAGTTTCCAGTTTCGTGTCTGTGTCGGGTATTCAGTTTAAGTTAATATTAATATTTATTTGCGGGCAGCCAAAAAGTCAATTATTTGGCTTCTATTTGCACTGCCCCCACCCATTCGAGGACGAGTGTTAACGTTAATGCTGGCGGGTTTAATTGAATTATGCCACGGCCAATCGACCCAGCTCGGCATTGGCGTTGGTTTATTTGTTAACCAAACAGCATAATATTTATCTGCATATTACACAAATAATTAGGATACTGTTCTGCACTCTACTGCGCTGTCTGTGCGGCAGCTAGATTTATGCACTTTACACTTTTTGCGACACACCAATTATTTATTTATTTATTCAACTAACATATTGTCATGTCGATACACTATCCGATAATAAAAAGTCACACAAAAAGAACAATTTTATAAATATTGTTGCACTAAAGCTTTAAACGGGAAAGCGAACGTTCACTCCGTTGGGAGAAATGAAACTAAAAGCGCTGGCAATTGTGCTCCAGAGACACGATAGCTGGTTCACCGATGGACTTTCCTTGAAGAACCTAAACTGAAATGTTGCCTGCATCGGTGGAAAATGTATGGTGTAGCTGCAGTTCTGATGCGGTGGACTAGCACTTATCCCCCTGATGCTTGCTGATGCGACTCCCGCTGGTGCTAGGATGGCCCCTGTTGAGGGCACTCACGTGCAGCGAGCAAAACATTTTAGATTGCCCTGTCAGTCAGTCAGTCAGTCAGTCATTCAGTCAGTCAGTGGGCCAGTGGGCGCGCTGTGGTGGCACTCGTGTGTGACCGTGTCTAGTTCCCATTGTCAATCAGCGAAAACTATTTCGAGCCATCGATTGGTGATGCAACATATCCATTTTGGATTTGAATTCACATGCACAGAGAGAGAGTCCATGGCTGGGGCAGGGACAGGATTATCATTGCCATAAGCAGGAGGAGTTGCTGCCGTGGCTGAGATTAATTTAATTCGCCCGAATGAGTTTATCTTCTTTGTTGTCCCAGCTCCACGTCCATCTCTTCATCTGCAGCTTCCAGCTTCCAGCTCCGTCTTCATTTAAATACTAAATCGCATTAAATGCCATCAAGTGGAAAATTCCCAAAAGCAATAAATTCATTCCTTGCAGGGGCCTACAGCTCAGCTCGAGTTCCTTCGCCGCTGCTTGGGCCTGCTCTCACTTTTTGAGTGAAAGCTCCACGTTCGACGATATTTGCATTATGGCGCTGGGGCATCCGTTCCCCCCTGCGCTCCCGCGAATACCATGTCCTAGCCGGGAAGCGAGAGCATTGGGAGCCACACCGGTGAGCTGTTTATCCTTAGCCGGCAGCCTTGGCTTTCTCTTTGTCTTTGGCTTTGTCAGGGACTCGGATTGGGATTGCATTGGTATTGGTATAGAGGAGTGGCGCGGCTTGGCATGGGCTCTCCGGTGTCTGGGTATTTTTGCCCTCATCATATTTCTTCGTTTCGTTTGGCTTGGTTTCCTTTTCGTTTCTTTTCTTCCCTGCTGTGCTCTGGGGCCCCGCCTGTGTGTGCGACTGGGAAACTACAAAGACAAATATTTAATTGAATTAGTGCAGCAAGCGTTAAGCAGCGTCAGACAATGTGCAAGGCCACGCCCAGTGTTCCCTGAAATTGGTCCTGTCTTGCCTTAAATTTGAATTTTGTATTTGATTCATCAACAGGTTCGTTACCGCCCGAAGGCTTAAGACATTCAGCAATTTGTGGATATATCTCTACCCTTTTGTCTGCATAAACGTTCAACTGGGTAACTGCTCATCTGGCTATCCATTCTTATGTTAATTTGTCAATTTCAAAAGGTTGTTACCTCACCGGCAGCTCTACCATTTTCTACATATTTTGATAATTACGCTTCGGCTGTCAATTGACCCGCCCCACCCGAAGGCAGCCAGCCTGCCAGCAGCTAGTTAGCCCTTTTTCATAAGCCTTAGCCCTTCCTTTTGAGCCTGCCAATTTGACGTTTAAAAATAACCACCCTCCCCCATCAGGCACCCCAGCATCCCTCTGGGCCATAAACAGAGACATTTTGCGCGCTTTGTTGGGCTTTCCACCTCCGCTGAAGGCACCTTTAATTAGCATAATTGGTGACATTGAAGCGCGGACGTGGGACTGAGAGCAGGACCAGTAGGACAAGTGGAGGAGAACCCATCAAAGCATGATGAATATGCTCAAAAGCCAAGCCGCAGCGGAACCAAAAATATTCCCTGCTAATTAATTGTCGGGCCTAATCAATTAAGATTGCCCTTCCGCGCTTTAACACCGGAGCCCTCACCCCGTGGCATTTTTGGGCATGCGGTTGAATTGAGTGCTCGGCCAGAAAAAAGAAAAGATTCGTTTTAAATTTTACATTAGACTAATTCAAGACATAAATTGTCGAGCGTCTGGGCTGCATACCAAAGCGCTCCAAAGAAACTCAAAAGCCACAAGCCGCGCGACCCTCAGCCTCATCCTCAGCCTCAGCCTCAGCCTGAGACCCCTGCCCACCAGGTAAGTGAAAATTCAATTTAAATTGATGTCGACTGCCCAAGAATACCAGCCCAGAGCCAAAGACTCAGCTGAACCAGGTCCAGAGCAAGTGCAGGAGTGTATATGCCATTTAAGTTAAGTACCTTGGCCACACTCTGCCACACAACCCACACGGATAGATAGAGAGAGGCGGCGAGCGGCTTTGTGGGAACGTAAAATAGCTAACAAGTGGCCGGGCATTTGGGTCCTACGACGACCACACGGCCATGACTGCCCATGACTGCGAAATCAGCGCCGGCAGCCACCAGCCGCAAAAATAGCAACATTTTTAAAAATTCATAAAAAAAAGGTAACAGCCAGGCAGACAGTGAGGACGAAGAGAGGTGAAAAGGGAATGGTGGCTCGGCCAGTGGGAGTAGACACCTTTCGGGGTGTTTTGTGCTTGTGGTTGTGTTTCCGGCCTCCTTCCATTTTTCAAGTGTGTTTCAATTTTTGCACTTGCCACTTTTGCTCAAGACCCTCTATCTGCCTCGTCCCCTCCCCACCAGCACGGACAACCTCTCTCACCTTAGCTATACAACCGCCTGTCGGTGGTAATGAAATTACAATTTTTATAGGCCAAGTCATGAAAAATAAATGAGACTTAAGCACATTGCCCGGCACTGACTAAACTGTTTGGCGCTTCTGCGGCACGAGTACGAGTACGAGTACGAGGAGGATGCCAAAACGAAAACAAGTGGGAAAGCGGTTGGGCCAAATGGCCAAAACATATTCGTTGGCCATTCAACAAGTCCCGCCCGCTGCTGCCGTTGCCTTTCCGCCGGTCCAGGCCTACGCATGGGCATAAATATTCGCCCAGAAATGGGCAGAGGCAATCCCTGTTCTGATCAAACGAAAACTAAAATTCAAACCTTTTTTCAGCGAATACCCTTTAACAGGAAGCTTCACAGAGCAGCTAAGGCAGGGAGAGTGCTCTACCCTACAGTGCTCTGACACATTTTTCCAAGGTACAACTGCAGTTCGTTTCCCGTCGGGTCCCTGGACAAAATTTCAATTAACTTAAAAAAGTTTCAAATTCAGTTTCAGCTTATTTCGGGGAAGCGTTTGAGGCTGGCAGATCTCGGGACGGGAGCAGTCCCTTTTAGCAGTTTGCCCTTTTTCCACACGAAATGAAATTTATGCTGCCAGCATATCGTTGCCTACTTTGGGGCGCATTTCTCTGCCACCGCCGAGTCCCTGTGTGTGTCTGCTTCTCTGTGTGTGCATGTTTGCGGCTGAGTGGCAACATTTAGTTTAGTTAAGTGCATTTGATTTGGCAGGCAAATCCCCACGGGGCGAGTTAGCAGCATGGAATTGCAATTTATTGAATTATGCCAACCGAATGGTACATATGTACCAGGGACAATAATCGCATTATGCTGGGCTCTGGGCTCTGGGCAGAGGTGGTGGCGGCAGCTAGTCCATTACACATATTTGGCAGAGCAGTTCAATGGCTCATCGACCTCGAGTGCCAATTGTATTTTGTGGCGGGGGGAGCAGAGAAAAGCCTTGCACGGTCCCGGTCACGTCGCCATTGTTCGGGCGTTTTTAATTAGTTGTGTCGTTTGGCCTGGCCTCCTCCTGGCTTCGCATTTAATTTAATCACGCACTGTATGCGTCAAATATTTGAGTTGGCAAAGCATTGGAAATTGCGTATGCGCCATGTGGGCCGAGGGCAAACGCTCTCCCCCTCTATGCCGACATTCCTGCCTCTGAGAGATTGTCTGTCGAGCTCCGCACCGCTCCGCTCTTCGGGGATCGAGCTGAGCGAATGTGTTGACGCATTTTACAATACACAATGGGACCCACACATACCTACAGCTGTGCTCCTGTGTAATTATGAATTCCATAATCATTTCGTTAATATTCGCAGCACGCGACTCTGCCGGTCGCTTAGGATAAATTGCAGTGGAAGCAGACGCTCAGCGGCCATATCCTCCATCCGCCGCAACGGTTGCTCAACTGCTGCCTTATCCTGCGGGGAATTAAAAATAATTTGGGTCGTTTTGGTGTTATGTTCTGTGCTGGCGGAAGGAAGCAGAACCAGAGTCCTCCGCCATTTGTTGTTTGCCTTTTGCTGGCAGGTGTTTGCCATGGGCCTTGGTCCCTGGCCTTGTGCCTGTGCCTGTGCCTGCCGCGTGCGTGTGTTGATTATGGCTTAATTTTTAGTAATTATATTAACATGATTAAATTTTGTTTTGATTTTCCAGCACAGGGGGTAGGCAAAGGCCAATTAGACATGCTGAAATGCTGCGTCCCGGAAATGCACACCGGCTGTGGCCGAATCGAAAATACGAGTATGTACCAACCCATATTGGTAATCCATTCGGTGCCTAATTAGACCGGGTAATCCAATATTTGGATATTTGAGGATACATTTATACTCTGTTCAAGAGGAGTTTTGATTTTCAGTCGAGGTGTGACACGAGTCGAGCAACTAGTACACTGATAACTTAATAGCCGCTGG